AAAAGAAGTAACTATAAGTAAAGTTAAAAATAAATTATTCATGTAATAAAAAACGTAATCAAAAATTTCCATGTAATAAAAATGAAACAGAAATACATGCGAAATGAAAAGTGTCGCGTAATTTAATTGACATTACGAAATTAAAGAATAATTCAGAATATCCACGTGTGGAAATCGCAGGAATAAATTTGATCCCCGCGAAATGGCGACACACAATAGCCGGGACGACGAGCGATCAGATAATTCTTGGGGATTCGTGGGCAGCTTCGGGGTAGAAAGACGCAGCTTTCACGTTTCTCTCACTCGAGGGTTTCCATTTCTCGGCGAGTCGTGGCAGTCAGTAATAAAGTCAGGGCAGAGCGTATAATCTCGAGGGATCTTTTAGGCATGCCGTTAGTCGGCCGCGCTATTACGGGAGATAATGTTGGTGTATTATTCTCCTATTTTGCGGCGCGAAAGACCTGCCATCGCGCGGCTACCTCATTATTTCACGACGCGGCACGCGCCCGGATTTATCCTGCGTGACGAATCGCGTGTTATCCAGCGAATTAACGTTAACTGTGCTTGCCAGCATTCGGCATAGCTGTGTATCGTTTTATGCGCTGCGCGCGTGTTGGTAACGGTGCAATAGCGGTTCATAATTTCGATAATCGGCGGAAATCGTTTCTTGAGAAGAGACATAGCCGACGGTGCTATGTAAATAGAACAATTAACATTCACGAGATTAAAATACTTAACGTAAATTATTTAAGACAATTTCAAGCTATATATATTTTTTCTTTTGGGGGAATTTTAATAAATAGGTAAAGGATTAAAAAGAAATATCGAGTAAGATAATCATAAATATTATCAAAAAGTGCAAATACAATAACACACGACGAAAATACTTAACACCGATTATTCAAGGTGATTTTATGCTTGAAATTTTAATAATAATAAGCAAAGAGTTGGAAAGGAAAGGTCAAACAATACAATCATAAACATTACTTAAAAATGTAAAAAAATATCTGGAAAAGAAAACTCTGGGTTTTTTTACTTGACTGTTAACGTCTAAAGGCTAATAAATTTGGACTTTCTTTCCTTGTTAATGTGTCGAAGTAACTTCTCGGTGTGTCCCGTTTGCAATAAATTTTCGAGAGGTTCTTTCGGTCGGTAGCGTGAAACGAAACTCGTGAATAAAGATCTGCTGATAATCTCGCGACCTGCCTATATGTCATCGCCTCGAGCCCTTTGTACATTTATTTTGTTTGCTCGAGTGTAACGGACGATAATGCCGGTGCAAATGACGCCGATGAATCGCACGGAACACACCGCAAACAACGTCGGGCCGTTTAACGTCAGCATTTCTCTTTACTCGGGTCTGACTTTTACGACGCGAGTTAAGACGCCAATAAAGTACGTAACTGCCTGCTCATTCAGCGCCTGCTTTTTGCAGAGCGAGGTGAGCCTCGCGTGCGCAAATTATATCTGTCACGACGAATGCGTCCTTTGTTAGGCGCCGCGATTAGCCTCGTTTCGCGAGATGCGACCTTGCTCGCGAAATATGCAAACATTTCGTCGGGCCGCCACTGGTCGTCGTTCTACCCGCCGTATTACATTAATTATATCTCAATAAATCTTATCTCGAAGAAAGTTGTTACGTTAATCAAGTAATATCTTCACCACTGTCTCTCGTCTGATTAATCTGACGACCGTCTCTCTTCAGATTAATAACCGCGATCGCGTCAAAAGGCTAAAGAGAAAGAAAGGTCGACGAAGGCGATCCGATTCCGCATAATACGATCCTTTGGAAAAGCGGAAGCAGTCAGCGCTCGATTTACCGAGAATAGTCGCGTTGGTGTTCGTCGTGTTTGTAATTCAATCCGAGCGAGTAATAAGGAACGAATGCGGAGCTCGAAGCCGCATAAAAATATTGCCCGCAGCCACATTCCGCGAGTAATTAGAATGAAAACGAGCAACGTTGTTACATTAGACGCTCGGTGGTAGCGGCGATATAGCGTGTATATATATGTATATATATATATATATATATATATATATATATATATATATATATATATATATAT